CCCGCATACCAGACGATACATAAACGTCGAGCGCGAAAAAGCGTTGGCCGGAGAAAGAAAACACACCGGAGGGGGTGCGAGCGCGAGAAAGAGGGCAAGGGGAGAGAGGAAACGCGGGACAGAGGGAGGGAGAGAGAGAGAGAGAGAGAGAGAGAGGAAAGGAGAGAGAAATAGAGAGCGGAGTTTTGAAACGAATGGAGACGGAGACGGGACTATCGGGAGAGGTGGAGAGCGAGAGCGAGAAAAATGCGATGTGATGCACGCGGCGCGGGGGTTGGGGGGGAGGGGTGGCGGATTCGACGAGGACCGAGCGAGGCCGCGGGAGGGTGGTTATACGTTACCGCGGCGAAAAAGAGAGGCTTCGAAAGAGTGAACGGCGACGCGAGAGGAGACCGCGGAGGATACGCGCCGATATATACGGGAACGGGAATTGAGGGACGAGAGGAGGGACGAGCCAACGAGCGCGAGAGGAGACGCGAAAGAGAGTGGACACAAGGCGAAGCGCGGGTGAGCGAGCGAGAGGGAACCGGGGGTGGCGCGGGGGGGTGAGGATGAAAAAGAGAGAAGGTACGCGGGAGGAAAGAGAGGCGGAACGATATCGAGAGGGAGCGAGTGAGAGGGGCCGCGAGGGTGAGAGCGGGAGGACGCGCGAGAGAGAAGGCGCGCAACGGCGCGCCCGGCGGCGGAGGGAGCGAGACGGCCGCATATGTGTTCTGAAACAAACGTTCGATCAGAGTGCCGATTGTTGCCAATCATACGTTGCCGCGGCGTACCCCTCTGTGCCCGTGGCTGGTCCGCGGATTCAGTTCCGCGTTTTTACGCGCCGCGGCAACCAGGGCCCGTCCGCTCGCGCGCGGCTATCCGCGAAAACCGCGCGCTAAATGTGTCGCGAGCCGTGGTGTGGACGACCGTGTATGTGTGTGTGTGCGTGTGTGCGTGTATGCATGTATGTGTGTGGCGCGTCTCGAACTTAACCCTCGCCCCTCGAGTCGCGGTCCTCAAGGGTCGAGGCCGGCCGCGCGCGGCAGAAAGGGCGCGGTGGAAGGCACCGCGGGCCTTTTCGTCGGGCGGCGTATAGCTCGCGTATCGATATGGAATGGGCGGCGTGCGTTGCGTGGCCGCGCCGCGTACGTGCGTGTGCTTTCTGCGGAAAATGTCGGCGCTGGCGGTGGCATTCGATGATTGATGACGACGGCGGCGACGGACTACGGCGGACGGGCGTGTGTGTGTGTGTGCGTGTGCGTGCGTGCGTACGTGCGTGTGTGTGCGTGTGCGCAAACGAGTGTGCATACTTCTCTCATCGAAGCTGAGGCCAGGGCTACGCGCGCTTATGTACGTGTGCGTGCGTGCGTGCGTGCGTGCAATGCGTGCGTGCGCTCTCTCGTGCGCGCACGGCGATGTGTGTGTGTGTGTGTGTGTGTGCGCGCGCGAGAGGGCACGATGATTTCGGAAAACACAGCGGCCTGTGCCGACCAATGGCAGCGCGTCTACTCGCCGGCCGGGCGACGGCGATACGCAATGACGAAAGAGAAGAGGGAGAGAGATGGGAAGAAGGGAGAGAATGACCGGGTGGGATGACGGAAGTGGAGGAGAACGGACGGGGTTCTCGCGCGACGAGTAATAATGAATGTTCGCTGCCGCCGGCTAAGCCTTCATTTTCGCTGCTTCAACCTGCAGATGAAGCTCCTCGCGCGCGCTTCCGTCGCCTTCCAACCAACCCCGCCGTTCACGTATACGATTCGCGCGCGCACCGATTTCGCCCGGTTTCTCCTCGGTCGCTGAAACGCGAGGAGACGCAAAGAGACCGGCGGGAGGAGGGTTAGCGCGCTGCTATAAATAAGAGAACCGGTTTAATTCCGGTGAGTTCCGGATTTCGAAAGGCAATGGGTCGACGGAAACGATCCCTATGCGATTATTCCTCGCGATAACAACGCGACAAGCGTAACATCCACTCCTCTATTTACTTATCTATTTTGTTCCGGTATCGACAATTGGAAGAAAAATTTAGCGAAATTTTGTTTTTCATCTTGAATCCTTTTAGTCTTTAACTAACGCGTGAAAACGTCATTGATAGCACTTCTAAATATCTGAATAACCAGTACAGAACACATGATCTCGTATATGCGGCAGAATTGAGATCATGAAATATGAACGGAGGCTACATCAATTACAAATGGAAGATATACATATATGTTCTCGAAAATGATATAAACATTATGCCTTCTTAAAACAATACCAAGAATAGGATACATATTTATCAATTTAATTTATTTTTTTTTTTATAGAATATGAAATCTAAGAAGAAATAAGAAAGGGACAATATCAAATCGTGTCTTGCTATTCGCATAGGGAGATCGCTGCTCTCCCGCTCTTCGCGAGAAAACCTATAAGCAAAGCGATGTAGAAAATAACTGTAAGAGCGTGCGCCTTCCTCTAGAGAAAGTTAAAATTATCAAGTCGGCGGAAAGAAAAACGGCGCACGCGCGTAAGGAGGAAGGGAATTCCCAACTTTCTCGAGGGCGCGAAAAAAGGCGCGCGGAATTAGCGGAACTTTCTCCGCTTCTTTCTTTCACGATTTTTAAAACACACGACGGGAAACGGGGCGAAGGGGGGGGAGAGATGGTAACGGCAGGGTGGCAAGTTAAACATTGCGCAACCCGATAGCACTCTAAGAGAGCGCGGAGCGCGCGAGAGAGGGATGATGCTCACGCGCGGAAACGAGAGCGAGCGAGCGGGTGGGACGAGGACGACGGTCGGGACGGACGGGGGAGTGGGAGGGAGAGAATGAGAGCGGGAAAGGGATGGGGAGGGGGTTGCGAACGGTGGAAAGAGACGGGCGAGACGGATGGCACGGTGGTGGGGGACGAGTGCTTTTCACGACGTCGGTACGGTACTCGTAGGCGATAGTGCGGAGGGCAGCTCCGGGCGCGCACGCGCTTTTTCGAAAAATCAATAAAACGAAAAGCTTACCTAATGCCACGTTACTACGGGGGTAGACTCCGCCTTCATCTACTAGCTGTAGATACGGCCTGATCGCCGCCTAGATACTATACCGCCAGACCAGATGAACCATCTGGTAGATGAACGACAGCGGCGGCAGGGGCTGTGCGCGCGAGCGCGCACAGGATACATCATTTCCATACTTAAACTGGTACACGCGCGACAAAGTTCATTTCGCGCCGATCAAGGAAAAAAATGTCACCCCTCCCCTCCCGTTTCCCGCGCGCGCGTGTGTGTGTGTCACGTGGGGACATTTCGCGTGTGCGTTCGACCGCACCGTCCCGTGTTTGGACTGATTATTTAATTTCTCGCGTAAAGGAGAGAGATACTTTCTGCGATACTATCACGATGATACAAAATATTCTTTTGCCTGAACTGAGCCCAACTAGTCTCATACTTAAGTAATTGTTGTTTGAATTATACGTTACCGAACTCATTAGTTTTTCATATTATCTAAGATTATTTTTAGTATCATCGTTGACAAGGAAGTTAGTTAATAACGATGAAAATAAAACGATAAGAAAGAAGAAGAGGCTGTGTGTATGTTTAAAATTGTTCAACACACGTATTTCCCAAGTACTGATGATTATAGTTTTTAAATTCGGCGTAACCCTCTTAAATTGTGTTCCATATTTTAAACATACAAGTCATGCGGCATGAATTATCCGATGCGCCGGCGATTAATGGTTTATGCGACGAGGTTAACATTCGCCGATATTAAATGATATATCTTGGTATCGTCATAATTCCCTTAGGACATTGGAATCTCGTATGTGCACATTAACGAGGTATTTCGTGCACAGGGCTGTTTGCACAAAAGGTATATAAATGCCGCAAGACAATTAATAGTTGACCCAGGTGTAAACAATCGATTTCACAGTCTTAGCCAGCTTTGGAAGGCTTGTGTCTCGCAATTTTTGCGTTTGCCAGAAATCTGAAGACTATACAATTTTTAACCGAGCGCTGTAAAAACCGTAATATAGATAAAATTTCAATACATATGTATGTATAAGAATGAACAATAAGAATTATATTACAATTATGAACAATAAGAATTAATTGGAATTCTGGCGAACTTCTCGCGGAGAGGAGAATACCGCGAAGAAGTATTTCTCCGTAAAGACTTCTAATTATAAAGTGATAAACTAGGCGGTAACTGCAGCGAGCCAGGCCACGAAGCGATCGTCGGGTTGACCGATTAACGGGCGCTTCGCGGCTTCCAAGGTGCCGCGAGAGAGATAAAACGAAACAAGAAAGAACGCTACAGACCCCCTGCACGATATCCTGGCAAGCTCCTGTAAAATAGGGGCTTGCGAATGCGGCGAGCCATGATTAGATTGCGGCTTGTGCTCCAGGCGTCCGACTAGGTTCAGCACGTTAGCGAATTCGGTCCGTTGAGTGTTGACAAGTCCGCATCCTCCTCTCCCGGTGCCTTTAGCGCCGGCCGTGTAACTCTAACGAGCTTAGGGCACGTTGGCTCTCTGCTCGAGTGCATTATCTGAAACCGCGAGGTGTTCTTGGCTAGAGTGGATGCGTTTCCGGTGCCACGACGTGCGCGAACGGCATACCCGTTATATACGTTGTCAACGGTCAGGTATCGCGCGAACGGATCGATCCCGAGAAAGTTCCGCCGGAGGAATTTTCTCGCCTCGTTTCTTGCAAAAACATTTTTTCTCCCCTTCGGCTCGCCACATAATTTTCTACTAATGTCGTTAAATTTTAAAAAATTAGCGTAATTGTACGTATTAAGATTTATTATATACATTATATAATGTTATTTAGTTGAATCAATTATTTCCGCGTGTAAAATAAACTTAATTTCATATTTATAAATAGCTGCGAATAATTAAAACGATTTAAAGATAACAAATTTAACATATAGTGGCATTATGAATATTAGAATATTCCCTTTTAGGAATTGTGTAAAAATAGACATTTTTGAAACTGTCTAGTTTAAGCAATTAAACAATATTAATACCTACGGCAATTTAATAATTATTATCTTTGACTAAAAAAAAAGAAAGAGTTTATTTGTAAAATTCTGCCCGTATTGTCTGATTATGTCTAGTTCTTATCTATTTCATTTCTATCTACATGTTGTCATTTCTTTTGCGAGCATCATTTTTTACAGTAGCTGGAGATAGTACAGCGATAGCTCCCTTGTATCTCTCCCTTTCTCTTTTTTTTTATCTGCGAATGAATATTTCTACCTTGTACCGACAGCGGCGAAATTATACAAACGGGATTCCTCCCATGGTTCAAATCGAGCCATGGTATGTCGTTACTTTTTACTATCTTCGTAGCCAATAAACATAACCGTTTTCGTAACTGCCAACCCGGAATAGCTGTCTCCGCACGGGAACAAATCGAAAAACATATCTGATAGTCGCCGCACAAGGCCGAGGAAAATCAGCCATTGGTGAAAATTTTTTAATTAATATAGATATAAAAAGCTGGCGAGATATGCGTTCTGCGACTCAGCGCATACACGTCCGTATATCCGTTGAAATAATTTATTTATATGAAATTTGTATGCGTGTATGTGTGTGTGTGGAAAATATTTGTAGAAGCATGCAACATTTTTACGATTTGCTGTAGTAATGTTACAACAAATTTTTGTGAAAAAAATCGGGCATTCTCAAGGACATGTATAAAAAAAATATAAGTACATCTCGCGCAATATTTATAATGTTATCTGTTTGTCAGATCACAAAGCTGTCAAATCAAGCGATAAACTTCTTATTTTCGTCATGTCGACTCTGCAGTGTGCTTAAATAATTTACGAAATCATATGATTATACGTGCGAACGTGGCCGGGCGGAACGCGAGCCTCGGCCAAGTATCACGGCAGAAAACCCCGAAAACCCGGTCATTAATTGTCTTAGACGTTTAAGCGGTGTAAACACTGGAGGTCGCGAAAGGGAAAGCCCCTGGGTAAAAGCTTTAGCAAAAGTACGCGCGCCGTTAGCGGAAGTTTTTCCGCGTAACGACGCCGCGGCTCGCCGGCAGTTTTCACAATTTTGCGGAGACTGTACCGCGGGGGTAACCCTTCAAGTATAAACCACCCCCTACGGTAGCCATGGCAACGCGGACGTGGTATTCCTACCCGGCAACTCGCCCCCGTCCTACCTCCTCTTCCAACGTCCTTCCACCCTCCACCCCCGTACTCCGGTTTCGTGCACCCCCCCTCCTCGCCCTTCACCACCGATACCCGAGCCTCCACCCTAAAAACAAGAGTGTAGTTGCCGGATCACGTGGTTCCGCCGCTCTCAAGGGGTGGGAGAGGTCGAAGGGAAGTGAGGATAGAGCCAGAATAGGATAGAAGGGGTAGTTCCTAATTGCACCGGGTGGGTGAGACACTAGAGGGGCTCCAGAATTGATGCAGGAATTTTGAGGCTAGGTTAACTCGCTCTCGCTCCCTCTTTCCTCAACCTCTTCCTCTTCCGCGCTCCCGCAGCCTCTTTCTCTCTCGTCGTTCACTCACTCTCCATCCGTTCGCTTGTACCTCCTCCTCCTCCTCTCTTCTTCCCTGCCGCGAGCACCTATATCTCTCGCCGGTCGCTCTCCCTCGAGTGATTCCGGAGAAGCTAGTAGGGGTTGGTCCCCTAGACTGAAAAATGCTGCGGTATACCGGCCGGACATGGGGGTCCTTTTCGAAATCCTCCCCGAAACTGTAATGAGAAACTCACTCGCGCGCCGATTTTCAGCCAACCGAGCTCTCGGCCCGCTGAGAATCGCCGAAATGGCCACGGCAGCCCGGCCGTAATTCTATTTGCCACGCACCGTACTTAACTTGCAAGCTCCTCGCTTTTTTCCCCATAACTTAGATTGAGCCGGCTGATATTTAAACGACTACGACCCTCCCATCCGCAATACGAAGCGTTCAACAAGAAGTTTCCATATATCATTGATTCTTTCACAAATCTAACTTTCTGCGATGATAAAATAAATTTTATGTCACGTCTAAACGTTTTTAATAATAAAGAAACGATTAACACATTGTTACAATGAACGTAATTATTTATAGTAATAAAAAAGAAATTTAGGAATTTTTTCGTACAGATCTTTTCTCAACCTTTCGCCTTTTTTCCCGCCAAAAATACAAATAACAACGAGCAAGGTTTTTTTTACAATTTTCTACATTTTTTTTTCATTTAAAAATTTTAAAATTTTTTTTTACATCAGAAACTCTCAGAGATTCCTGGGCTCCGCCCTGAAAGTCGAGAGCGAACGAGTCCCTCTTCGGCTGCCCGGCCAACGAAGAGGATAGTTTGCATACGTGGTGCAGCGGAGAGGGTGGCAGCCGGACACAGCCCTCCGATCAATGAAGGCGAAGCGCGCGCAGCCCCTCCGATTTTTTGAAAATCTGCCCGCCAACCTGGTACTGCCCCTTGTTTATCCCCTCCGCAGTGTCTACATCTGAACTGCATACCAAGATGGGGAAACGTAGCAACGCCGTGAATACACCATTTTGCTGTCGACTTGTTCGATTCACCTAGCATCGCCATTTTGCCCCGAAGGGGCCTGCTCTCAACTGCGAAAAATTATCAATGGCGATGCATCGAGATATGAAAAAACGGCACGATCTGTCTTATCTCCTCAGACGAGCGTAAAAAAAACCGCTCCCTTTTAAAAAGTGATTCAACCGCGGCGTTCCCGCGCGCAAAAAGAATTGCACAGAGCCGCCCTCTCGGTTTTTACATGCGCGATCTGCACGCGGAAGAGGTACAAAAAACAAACAAAAAAACTGTTTTCTTCGCCGTGAAGGGGAGACTGGTGCCATCTGCTGGCATTTTTTGAACAAGCCATTCTTCACCCCTCAACCCTTGCGTGCGTTCGTCGAGCAAGGGCACGTATGAGTTCATCAACCCCCAGTAGGATGGCGCCACTAAGCAAATTCTATTTTAAAAAATCATTTGCGTTATTCTTTAACTTTTTGTCACTTAAATTAATAGCTTGCCCTTCCAAAATTGATATATAAATGTGAAGCGACAAATCAGTATAATTTGATGCAATATTAAGTCATGATATTAAATTGTAATATTTTTAAATTCTTAATTATATCGAATTTTTTTATTCTCAACGAAATTTATAGGAGACTCTTTTAAGAAACTTACCTTGACGTAATTTTTAATCATGATTCCTAAATTTTTAATTTTCTCGAATAAAAGCATAAAATAAATGAAATAAATACATCAAATAATTGATGTCTATAAATAAAAAAATTTCATATATTGAGACAAACTGTTTTGTCAAATCAGTAACAATTGAAGATATGTACAGCTAATTTTAAAAACTAATTACCTTGTTAATATTTTCTAATATTAAAACGATGTTATTGTATTCACGGAAATTCTTGTCATTGTTTTATTTATAAAACTTCAAGAGATTCAATTATATTGGATATTATATTAATATTATATATGTATCGATTTCTTCGGCACATCAATCAAATTAGTCTTTACCACAGAACTTCCACTTGGTATGCACAACCTCCTCGTTCTATGTACCTATTGCGTGCGAACTCTAGATTATACATCATTAGGTAAGTCTAAGTCAAAATGTGTATTGCATATACATATTATATGTTTGAAATGTATCGATATACCGAGTAGCAATATGTTGGTATAAAGTAAGCGTCATATTTTTTTATGAAATAATTTATACACATATTCGTACATAAATACAGTGATATACCACACCATTATATTTTCTATTGAAAAATATATGATGACATGACTGTACTTTCAAAGTTATAATCTTTATCAATCAAGTCAAGTGTAAAAAATATATGACATGCTTCTACTTTTAAAGTTATATTCTTTAAAAGTCAATATACCAAATAATTAGTTGTGCTTAATGAATGCACCGCGTGCTAATCTCAACACATTAAATGATGACAATATTATTAACGTGCAATTTGGAAGTATTGAATTTGTCACTTTGATTTTAATATTACTATATGTTATGCACATTGATATCAGAAGATACACACCAGAAGAAGAATCCATGCGAAGGTCCTTTATCAATAAAGAAGAAAGAGACTCTTCTATGACTGCAACGCGAGATTCACAATCTCGAAATCCAGCTGATGGAAGGCCGCGGAGGGTCGGCGCATATGCACGACACTCGTTTCCCGTTTCGCAGTTCCTATAGTTGCGTTCTTGTCCGGGTTTCGAGAGGACGCGGTAGTCGCGCGCGATAATAAATTATTCGAGATAGATGATGTTGCCACGCCACAACGGGTCTGGGCTTGCTCTCTGCTCTCCTGCAGTGTTCTGCAACCGGGTATTTATGCCGAGTCTGGCCGCCATGCTTCATACCACACCGGGATAGCAAACCCCCCCTGAGTTATGTCGACCGCGTTGGTCTTGATAGATTTTACAATTTACGATCGCCGCGTACACGCGTCGCCGAAATATCAAGCTGTCGCGAACTTCTCCTCGGGCGGCGACTTCGCGTTTTCGACAATTGTGCAGCCTTTCACTCCGTGTCGGGGACACGGTGCACTTTGACATCATCGGTAGACACGCGCGATGATATTCGTCTAACTTTACGCAGGGCTATTATTACTCGTGCACAAAGCCTCGCGATCTTTCAGATCGGACTACATTATTCTGTGTAAGAATAGTAATTTGGACGTTAACAAATTTAACTTTAAAGTATACTCTAATTATAATAAACAAATATATATATTTTAAAAAATATTTCATTTTTTCACTCATTAATTTCAGAATTAATTTATTCGGTCACTCAATCGTAATCGTGAATGTCAAATTTCGCACAAACATGTCGAAAATAAATCACGCGCAATGAAAATTTTAGAGGCTGACCATTCAAATTTCAAAATAATCGCAAATCGCCCGACTAAAATTTGAAACGAGTTTTAAAACGAGACTGTAGACTAGGTATCCGAGGAGCGCTCGTCATCAAGCGTACGGGTTAGTTTTATGGTACCTACAAAGATAAACCTCTGGCTGTTACCACCCCGTCGTATTATCTCTGGGTGCGAGGTGGAAACACACACTGTACGCTGGTATCGCACTGGACTAGACCGCCATTTCATAAGCTTTCACATCATTTTACCCGGATACTAACCACCGTCGGCTGATGTTCCTCACCCTTGAATCTCTTCCGATGCGTCGCAAAGTGCCGAGTCAGCCGGATGGAATAAATGCAGGCGGAACGCCTGGGTCGGTTAGAAAGAGGACATCTTTATTTTCCATTCAATTTAGGGATATTAAGGAAGCGGATAGATATTTTTAATATAATCGCAGTGTGATTAAAGTATTAAATAATTTCTAATATCATGTTATTTTTTTGCTGCATTAACAAATAATAATTATATGAAGCTTGATCTAAATATTCCTGTAAATCTTAATTTATATCGTAAATTAGTAATCCTAAATACATAAATTATATATATATATATATAATCCTAAATTATAAATTCAACTTATAATGTAAACTTATCCTAAATATATAAATTATATGTATAATCCTAAATTATAAATTCAACTTATATTGTCTTATTTTATTATATACACATATATAAACATAGTTGATTTTATTATTCACGCAGATAAATTTTTAATGCTTTGTATACCAACAAAAATTCCTAACATAGGATGACTGAGCAATACATATTACATATACTTTTTCCGCGTGTTCTTATATATTTATTTCCGCGCAGCGATTAATAATTAATGAAGTGAATAATTAACTTAATAAAATTAACGCTTTATTTATTTCAATTTGTTACCATATAACTGCTTGGTGTATCCCGAATTGTCTTATCTCTGCGTCAGAAAAATTTTTTTATCGTCATTATGTAACTTACTAGTACCTGAAACATAAAAAAAAAATGAATTAGTAATAAAATTAAACAGCAGCTGATAATAATAGTAATATTATTTAGAAAGCGGGTAGGTCCACGAAAGGCTCTAACGTCACCCAGATCTAAAAGTTCCTCTATGACTCCCAAACAGCAGCTAATAATTAATAATAATTTTCTACGTACATTTACGTGTCACATACTTTTTACATTGTTATCTTTTGTTAATTTTTATTTTTGATAGTATTATTTTTATAAACAAACAATAATTTTGCAGATATTTACAATTTTTTTAATAATCAATTTGCGAAGTTTCTTTAAATTTTGTATTGTCAAATATCACAGATTGTATTTAGTATACCTATTGAAAGACAAAGTAATATATTTGCTCTTTCACGCGAGTCCGTTGCGAGAAGTAGTTTTCAGCCTTCGTTCCCACCTATCTCCACGTACTGCATGTCCAACTCCGCCAAAGGCTTTAACCAACTGCGACCCCAATTGAAAAGTCTTCCTCGGCACGGACACCCACGATGAAATACTAACGCAATTAAATGCCGCCGACGAGCCCACGCCGGATATTGGCACTCCTCGGCCGCGCCATGGTATTACCCTTCCGCCTTTCGACGCAAACACGGCGATGCGTCTCCGCGCGTCCTCCTCGCCCCGTGACCGCGCGTTACCGTGGTCGTATCGCAGCCGCCATCACAATTGTCATACCTTCGCGCCATCCTCCCCGGTTTTACCCACCCCCCCCCCTGCATCTCGTGCGTCACCGCAACAAAGGAAGTGCTTGGAAATCGTCCAATATCGAGTGAAGTTCTCGAAATCCTCGATATCACTTTCACAGTCGTCATGGATTGCGCGACGACGCGCGGAGGAGTCCAGAAAGGGCTGATCCCTCCCCCTCCCCCCTCCCCCTCTCCCCCTCCTGACGGCAGTCATTCCGGATTGCGGAGGGCACGACACGATTAAGCGACGACGCTCGTCCTGCGACGCGTCCTCGATACTCTCCGCACGTACGACACGGGAACTCCCGCAGCTGCTCGAGATTCCATTCGCGCGCCAATTTCGGGAGACCGATGAAGACGGAAGGGCGAAGCTTCGGCATGTAGCGTAAGAAGTCGATTATCATCCGGCTCGCAAAGTACGTGCGAGGGGCGACGCTATTACACGTATACGAGCGCAAAACATATATATATGTATAGCGCCGTGCGGGCTTTGTCGAACCTTTACGCAAATTTTGCAGTAAACTTTAAGATGCATCGAGCGTCACGCTTGCTTCTCATACGTGAAGAAGGAAACGCTGAAAATCTCGCGTATTGCAAAGGTTGATTTAACGTTTTAATAAATAACGAGCGACAGTTTTCAGCCGATTAGAGACCAAGAAGCAAAGAGGAACTTTCCTTCGCATTTACCTTGCCTATTGCAAAAAGACGTGACGCTTCTTATGACGGATCGCAAATTTGCGTATCCATTTAAAGGGTTAAGAGCCGAGTTTCCTCAATTTCTGGGAAGGGCTCGCCGGGATATTGTCGCGGGGATAGCTAGAAAGCGTGGGTGGAGGTCGGCGGGTGTCGTGAGGGACGATAGGAAGGAGAGATGGACCGAATTTGTCAGGCTAACAAGGTGTTAGCTTCTCGCCGCGGCGCGCCTCGACATCTGTAATGCTCAAAGTTAATTTCAGCCGCTTCGAGGGCGCAACATCGACCGTTCGCCCGCAAGAGACGAGCATGGACGAGGTTCTTCACCTAAAGCTTCCGAGGAAGCCTTTCTAGATGCCCTGACATTGCAAAAGAATTTATTAAAAATTAGCTTTTACGCTTACGAGAAGAGTACATACAAAATAGAAATCGTATTAAAATAAGTAAAATAAATAATATAACGTATTATTTACCACATTCTTTATTGTATGATTTTTTTAAATCACAAAATGTCTTGTTAGAGCTAGAAAAAGTTAGTATTTTTAAAAATTTATAAAAAATTAGCTTTTAAACTTGTGGAAAAATTACATGCAAAACAGAAATCGTATTAAAATAAATAGAATAAATAATATATAATGTATTATTGATCACATTCTTTATTAAATGATTTTTTAAATCACAAAATATCTTGTTAGAGCTAGAAAAAGTTAGTATTTTTTTTTAAATAACTTAAAGAGTTGTAAGCAATATAAACTTCTATAGCATATGCGATATTTCATGCAATAATGAAAGAATAACAAAGCTCGGTTATTTAATACAACAGTATTATGAATGAGAAAAGCTCACTGATCTTAAATGAAGAATTTTTGAGGTAGTACATTTTTCATAGATAAATGTTACAGTTTCTAAGAAGTCCTTTGTTCGAACAGAGCTGCCTCCTGGAGTCCTGGGAACTGAGAAATGATGACGGTACGAGGTTAACAAAGTCGATGGAAATTGGAAGCGTCACCTATCTTGTCGTCACTACGACCCGAAGCCGGGCATCGTACGTGCACGTAAAAGGGTTGGCGACGACGGAAGGGAATGGAGTTGGGCGCCGGGGCGAGAGAGGTGAAAGAGGAGGAGGAGGAGGAGGAGGAGGAGAGGAGGAGGTAGCGGTTTGGCGAGGACACCGGGTGGAGTCGACGGCGTTGCCCCAGCATCGACCAGAATATTATGGACTTATCAAGCCATCCTAATAGTCTCATCAGGATGCAAGCCTGCAGATCTCATCATCCTCGGCGTCCCTGGACCACGTATAGGAACGAGCGAGCAATGGCGTTTCCTGGCGTAGATAGCGTTATAGGAAGTAATAGCGGACTGGCATGATTACATGCTGCTCTAAGGTATGGACGACTTCGAACGTAAGTCCGTCAATTCTTAGTCGTGGAGTCGAGATTTACGTTGCTCCCTCTTTCGTCGCTACACCGGCATAACCTACGCGACGTCTTCCCGCTGAAAATATCTCCATTGAAACCTCTGTTTGTTCTAAAATGAGCAAATTAAAAATAAAGAATAATAAATGTTAAGTAGAAGTGTTAAGTAAAGTGGGTTAAGTAGAAGTGTTAAGTAGAAGTATAATAAATGTTAAGTGTAAAGAATAATAAATGTTATGTTGCGAATAAAATACTTGTAAAATTGGAAGAAAATATTTCACAAACAATTTTCGTTTTAGCAACAAGTTTGTATGTTGCTTAATTCAGTGAAATAAAACCATTATAAAAAAAATTTTACTTTCGATATTTTTTAAATTATATACATTTTTTATATACAATTATTTATATACGTTTTTTTTCTTAAATATTATTCTTGCAAACTAGTGTTATTGTTTTTCGACGCATTCATATAAATTAATGGGTAATGCATTTTATTCGAGAGATCATAAATTATCAAAAAGGCAGCGCAAAACAAATTAGTACTGCGACCAGTTTGCAACCCTCGCTACCACATATTGCATACCGTGTACGCGCAAGCACGAGGAATTACATAGTTTTGGGATATATATTGTTGTTTAGTATGGTTTAGAATTTCCATAGATAACGGAGAATTATAACGGAGGCCGCTGTCGCGGGACCGAGAAATCGTGCGCCGTATAGGTATGCGTACACTTGCGCACGAACACACATAGAAGCTGCTTCTTTCTTTCGAATTAATTCACGAATCGAGAAGAGGAGGGAATCGATAATATCTGACTCTTTACTGTAGACATCATATTAATTCGTTGCCTTTATTTTAATTTAAAAAAAACTGCTTTAAATTCAAAGAATCTTATTGAAATTTGAACCAAAAGATCGCAGAAGAAATTTGAGATATTTCATATACGTATAGGACTTTTGATAGAGAGAAACGTAAGTTCCATGCATAAGCACGAGCACGATCCGAAATGTAATTCGCATTTAATTTACCAACGCGGGTTATCAATCATTAATCATCGTTCTTATAAATAGCAGAAGATAGTGCGCGTCGCCTAAGTAAGTAGCATAAATTGCGGCGGAAGTACAGCGGATCTGATAAGCTCGCGCTAAATTGCGCGAGGGCCGCCTGACCTCCTCATCTTCCCACCAGCTCCCTGACTCCCCCTCCCCGGCCCTCCCCTGGAGCCGCAACTAATAACTCGGCTTTTTCTTTAACGACGAACTACAAACTAATCTACGGCACACGCGCGCTGTCGCTCGGCGGATATACTATTGGCGACCCGAAAGCACCGTTCGCGCTCTTTCCTCCGGCGTCGCGCGTCCCCGCGAGCCCCCCTCGCGACCACCGCACGCGCGGGCGGGAGCCGCGACGACGGCAAAAATGGTGCGACATCGGCGGCCGACCGGGGACCGAGTAACCCACATTCTTTCGGCCGTGCCGTGGACCACACTTGATCCGTCCCGCGTTACCCGTGAGAGAAGGTTAGGTTTAAGCAACTCTGTGGAAGTTGCGGGCAGGGTCGGTTGGCCCGAGGGCGGCGGCAACTATTATAAACTGTAGCACCTCGAACTACCGCCTCCAGCCTTCCTTCTCTAACACCGGACGGGCCGCCACCCTTCTTCGCCCGACCGCGCGCCCCGCCCCCCCCCCTCGCCACACCGCCCTTTACCTTGCTTCCACCTCGAATCCAACACCGTTCCCCACACCCACCGCCGGCTTCACCGCCGCCGCCTTCACCGCCGCCGCCGCCGCCGCCGTCTCGCTCTGCGCCAACCAACCCCCCCTCGTCTCCAACTCCAAATAACCCAGGAAGCCCCCTGCCGAACTAACCCGCACACCCCGGAACTCTCTCCCCGGTTTCTCTCCTACACGCCGCGTACCCTCTAATCAATCAACCCCCAGGCATCTCCAGCCTGGTCTGCAGCCGGGGATCGCGGCTTTCCTGCAGTCTTCACAGGAACGACGTCTCTCTATCTCGAAAGACGAAAGCGTCGGCCGGTGGGTAACCCTGTTGCTGCAAACGGGTCCGCTAGCAAACGGCCGTGAGCGCGCGCGCGCGCACACATGCAGGTGCACACGGCCTGCACATGTATATATATACATATATATGTATATATAGGCAATGCATTCATCGCG